GAAGTAAGACACAAGCGCAAGCGGGTGTATTGCATTTGCAATTCGAAATCGAGCATTCAACAAGTACAAAGGTATCATTAGTTCATTCAAACACCACATGAACCCGTTAGCCCATAGTGTCAGGGCCTTAACCTAGATGGACAAGTCCTCCCCTACATTTTATTGAACTGACAGATCAGACGCAACACCAGAAGAGGAAAGTTACCCAGAGTATACTGGCTTTTACATCAAAGCATCGATTCTCGGGACATCAGTTGATTCACGCGAGAGAAACTAAGCACTCAGAAGCCTACTTGAAAAGGACTGACACATTCCGTCGGACTTCCGTCCTCAATACAAAAAGCAAAATTTGAAAAACTGTTGCTCATTTGAAGGTTTGACAGCTTTCACTACATTAAACTAACAGTTCTAGGTATCAGTTATGCCGCCCTACTAGAAACTGTCCAATAACAACCCCTTTCAGGAAGAGGAAGTAAACGAGAAATTATTATTTATCCTTGTATCAATGTTCTAATTTTGGCCCCCGAATGCCCTGGTACGGCCGAGAGTGGGGAGAGTCCGCTCTCCCTCGAAATACTCTTACACGGCCGCGCGTATACAGCCTCTGCAAGGGAAGTCCTACTCATTGCCTTCTCGTGGCGGGGTGTTGTTTACGAAAATGAGAGGACGAAAAGCGAATGTCCGGCGCTTTAACCGGGTTAATGGACATGAAGAGTCCACCTACGGGAGTTGGAAAACCCTGATTCCAAACCAATGGTGCACATGGGCTCCAGTATCCTGAGGGGACAAATGGCGTATGAACCAATCGTTGGTCACCGGCTACCATGGGATTGCATCTCCTTACGATGCTCCACTGACTTGTGGGTTAGACCTTTGGTCAAAGGCTCGTGGAGTGTCCCACTAAGATAACCACCTGCTTCGGTTTGGGCAGCCGAGCAGTATCACAGCCCACACACAAATGATGAACTCTCTATGTCTATGGAAACTACTTTTCTCGCTTCGAAAAACAATCAATTGATTCATATTATTATCATAACTATTATTGTCATTATTAATACCATTACTATTATTACTATTACTGTCATTATTATTATTATTTTCCACATTATTCACCATCTTTTATACTTACAGCGGCTCGTCTTTGGTGGAAATTCGACTGTATTTAAATGTTCTCGAGTCACTGTCCGGTTGAAAAATGTATGTTACCACCGAAAATCAGTACTGAAGCAGTTTTTTTGAAACCACTTGCACCATTCAAACTGTCTGCCTTCAATGTTGGCACACTTATGCAGGTTGGTCAACACATAGGGCTAGCTATGTCTTTGGAAAGTCCTAATATCGATGTCTGCTGTCTATCCGAGACCCGTATTCAAGACTCTGGCGAAGTACTACAAATTCGATCTCCATCTGTCGATTCAAAAAGCTTGTTTTACGTGTGCTTATCCGGGGACCCTGTGGCATCTTCGTCTGGTCTTGCTGGCGTTGGTGTCGCACTAAGCGCTAGAGCTGAGGCAGCACTAATCGATTGGATCCACATTAACAGTCGGTTATGTGCTGCTAGATTAGAGAGTTCCATCAAAGTGAGAAATCGGCGTGAGAAACGATGTCTTTTCTTCATCTCCGCCTATGCCCCGACAGATTGCAGCCCGGATGCAATCAAGGATGAGTTTTACCACCAGTTATCTGTTCTTCTCCAGAAAGTGCGTTCGACAGATATTGTGGTACTAGCCGGAGACTTGAATGCTCAGGTCGGGTGTCTAGGCACAGAAGAGAGTCCTTTAGGTGGCCGATGGGGACTTGTTGGTCTCAGGACAGATAACGGAGACGGTCTACTTCAACTTTGCACAGACCACAACCTGCTTCTGGCTAGCACTAACTACTGGCACAGTCATCGTCTATGTGCTACCTGGCGTCCTCCCTCTGCTTCTCAAGCCTGGACTCAGATTGATCACATCGCGATCAGCTACCGCTGGCGTGGTTGTGTACAAGACTGCCGCTCCTTTTGGAGTACCTATCTGGACTCTGACCATGCCTTGGTCTGCGCCAATCTTACCTTACTTTTCAGTGGCCAACGAAGTGACCGCCATCAACGGATTGATATTAGCAAGCTGGTTGCAACTTCTGTTGCTAGTAAGTATCGAACCGAGCTAGCCTCTAGGCTAGCTACCACTCCACCGAAAAGTATAGATGAGCATTGGTTGCAATTACATGACGCCATGGTATGGTATGTGCTTAGCACCTTCGAAGTGCAAAGTACTCCTACAAGACTGGCAGGATTCCAATCCTGTACTCACCCTGGATGGTGAGCAGATAGACGTAGTCGAGAAGTTCGTGTATCTGGGTAGCTGCATAAGTGCTGGTGGGGTGTGAGTGATGAGATCAATGCACGAATAGTGAAAGCCAGAGCGGCTTATGCCAATCTGGGCCACCTTTGGCGCCTTCGTGATGTTAGTCTGGCCGTAAAAGGTCGGATTTACAACACATCGTGAAAGCAGTTTTGCTCTATGCTTGTGAAACCTGGCCTCTCCGAGTTGAGGACGTTAGACGACTCTCTGTGTTCGACCATCGTTGTCTCCGAAGGATTGCTGACATTCAGTGGCAACACCATGTCAGTAATGCAGAGGTTCGGCATCGTGTGTTCGGGCACAGAGATGATAATTCAATTGGTGTCACTATCTTGAAATATCGACTTCGGTGGCTTGGACATGTTCTACGAATGTCGTCCCAGAGAATTCCACGTCGTGCATTATTTGCCGACTCTGGGACTGGTTGGAAGAAGCGGAGAGGTGGTCAGTGCATGACATGGTGTCGTGGTATGAAAGAAAACTGCAAAGGACTGGCTTCTGTCGGTCCTTCACGGCTCCCTGGTTGGGGTCCAAGAGATGGTGCAATACAGTGGCTAGAGACGTTATCAGATATGTCTCAGAATAGAAGCCAGTGGCGATCCTGCTGTAACCTACTTTTACTTTCTTCATAAAAAGTGGTTGTGTCTTCCTTACCTGAAAGATTTCTTCCGATTGTACCTTTGCGTTCCCTCATTACTACCACACTACCTTACACCAATCTCTTCGTTATTGTTCTCTTTTTTTTTCTTGCGCTCCTCAGCTTTTTCTTCTTCTCTATTTGTCTTCGAATTCTCATTGTTTTGTGTGGCGCCTATATATTGACGCTCTCTTGTACCAATATTCATGTGTTCAAATAAATAAATAATTTTGAAAAGTATCGTATTAAACTGACTTTCCGAAGCTAAATTAAAACAATTCATTTGAGAACCATATCTTCTTACTATGTGAGGTAGGAAAGGACGATGACATTGTGCCACACGATATCAGCAAGGGGCTATCCCAAAGTAATAGTTAAAATATCAATGTTTCATGATATTAGTGGTTATTTGACAATGAAAGATACTAGTTTATTAATAGAAGCTCAGTGGACTAATATTGCATTGTGACTTAAAAATACCACATAACTTCGAAGTGCCATGCCTAAAGAAACTGAATTCTGACTTAGAATACCGATTACTTTTTTAGATAATAATACAAGCAGATTACCTATAACAAGTAATAGATTTTGCCTGCGCTTTCAATCCCAAACCGCCTATCTGTGAAGTAGTCCGACTACTTCCTGTTTTTATCCAGTCCATAATGGTACTTCTGGCAACAAATTAGCGTTCTCTTAAATTCTATCAATATGTTTCCGCACCGGAAACATATCAACCAGTGTATAGGTAAACGTAGAACTGAAATCAGGCCCATACAAAATAGACTTTTATATTCAATTCATCTCGATATGTGCCTCTTCAGTTGCTTATCCGGCAATCATGTTTTTTCTGACAGGCGTATCAAAGTGCTAAGTAGTAAGTCATTTTATGTCGATTGCAATTTTACGGCTTTTTATTCAAACACGCAAAATGACTAGTCTATGCTTTAAAGACTACCAACGCACGCTCGAATAAAGGCCTGTAAATCAAAGAGTGAAAATCATCATCCAAAGCCAATCAACTAAGAACTTGTTCAGATACAAAACTTGAAAAATCTCATGTATTGATACGAAATAGTATGTTTATATTTACTTACAGGTTATTTTATGGAACCGAAAACATTTCTTTTTGACCGCTTCACAATACGAGTGTAGACATAGCAACAATTTTTGAAAACAGGATAAAATAAGAAAAACGAACTAACTTGATATAAACAAGAAAATTAATGAAAAAAAACAAACGCACGAGCAACTTTCCCAAAAGCATATACAGAGATGTGGTCACTTTTTTCGTTTTCTTATTACAGTAATGAAAAACTCTTTGTAGACATACCTCAAATAATAACCAAAGGATCATTAATTTTGTTTTCACTTAAAATCGCAATTATACATAAAGAAATACTAACGTCTTCTTTCTATAGAAAAGAAAAACATAAACAGCTCTGGAGAGAAAAAAAGCATGGAGAGTATGTCACAAAAAATACAAGGGAAAATAGGATTAACAAAATATGAAAGAAAATGAAATGTACGTACTTGACTTGTCTTGCTTTTTAGGGTTTATATTTTGAATAATAATAATTAATCACTAAATGTATGAGTGTGAATGAACTATCAGTGGGAAATGTGACAGAAGTGGTGGATGGTAAACACAATTATTTACATAGACTGGATCCAATGGACAGATAATATACAAACGTACACACACAAGGAACCAGTAAACTAAATTGTTTAGAAGGGAAACATTAATGTGCATATACGAGATGATAATGTAATTTTTAAGGCGCTTGAAAAACTAAGAAACATGAAGATGTGAATAAGTTGGGAGGAAAAGAGAATGAAGATACTGATTTCATGAATGAGAGAACGAAGTGAAATCAAATGCATGCATGTAAATATTCTCATCTTTCTATCGAAGAAAAACGTTACAAACGTAGAGTGATCCACTGATATTCAATAATTACAAACTTTAATAAGACGTGTGTAAAAGCAAAGAGAACTAAGATAATATGCTCGATGTAGCAAAAACGGATAATAATGTGAACTGGATTTTCTCAACAAAAATGGAAGAAAAGAAAAAGTACGGAAAAAATGTAATGAATGCTTAAAGTTATGAAATAGACGGAGAAACTTGGGAAATAGTCACATTAATTCCTAGGTTACCATTTTCAGCAAATGAATGAGCAGTATTAGAATCGAACACTAAACAGTCAGACACAGCGATTGCAGATTGAACACCATCATGAATACTACGTGGACAAGCTTCCCAAGTTAATCGTCGACGATGCCCGTTTAACTCAAGTCTATTAGACGGAAATCAGAAACAATAGTACACATAAAATAAAAAGGAATGATTTCCTTAAAGGATAACATGAATTTCATGTAAAATTACATGAAATATAGAAAATCATTCATATATACAGAAATGAAAAAAAGTATACAAAAGGTCGAATCATCTGTTGTTAGCGGGACACAGATTGGGTTAGAACACGTTCCGTGCAGGATTGTGTTGGTGCACACTGATTGGCTATTTCCTAACTAATCAGCACTAGTGGATACTTGGAGAAGTCTCTAGAAGTTTCTCGTGTAAAAACTATAAATATACAAACGTTTTTCTTGTTGTAATTCTTACTTCCATCTACCCTTGTTATTTGATACATACTTTAGTTCCTGTTCAACCGTGTTCTGATTTCGGGATTCGTCGAGTGAATTGGTGTCTAAGGATACTAAGCAATAGGAATAGCTCGGTAGTAATAAGAGAAGTTATAACATTTATAGAAATTATTTTTAAATAATAATGATAGGACCTTCGTTGTAAAAATGCAACTTTAAGTCAATTATTTTAATAGTTTAGTTTCACAGTACAGGATTCCAAGTATAATTCACAAAGGCTAAGAAAATAGTCAATTATTTAATACACAAGTGAAGTAGATGTGAATAATGGAAAATTAAGCATAGTTTAACCTTAGTCCATGACACGGGTACTTTGTGTAGGTTTTAATCTCATACACCTCAATGAAACTATACAAAAGCAATTTGGTTAAGTTCACGAAAAGTGGACAAACAACATGTTAGTGACAGAACTGAGGATCATAAATCATAAATCCCTTTTAACCGTTTTTGCAACTGAAAAACCATGTACAGGTTTTTGCACTATGAACTGAGTTAACCAACAGCATAAAGAATACCAATAGGTGCTAGTATTCCATAGTTATTAGGGGGTTCGGAAAAATGTGCTGAAAGCTGATAACCTCTTATAAAGGAGAGATTATTGGATGAGTGGAACACTGAAGAACAGTTTAACTGACCTGTAGCTACACTCTAGTTCCTATGATTTGACTGTAAACTAGATGAAATCAGCCACTTAACTCTTGACAAAGCTAGAAAGGATATGAACTATTAATACCTTACAGATGCTGTCGAGAATTTAAGAAGTCTATCCTGGGAGTAAGTCAGTTTAAGAATAAAGACTGAAACTTGACAGTGAGGATATCTTTACTTATTTCAGATGCATTAAAGCCGATAACTGGTCCATTATTGAATTATTACATACATAAAGATCATTCGACCAAAACTCACCAAACTACATTGCCAAAGGAACCGGTGAGGTGCATGATTGTCCACCTTGCACGACTAGCATACTGAAGAGCTGTCTTCTATTTTATGGTTATGATACATGATGCTAAATAAGTTGCAGCTAATCAACCAAAGGTGTCTTTGAAGCATGGGAGTACGATGAAATTACCAAGTGAGAAATGTTGAAACCAAGCAATAAAATTGCAGATAAGGAGATGGAGTCAGACGATGATATTAAGAACTTGCGCCGACATGGTTAAGACATACGTTACGCACAACAAGTAACTACCTGTCTCTATGTACGATGACACATGAAGTTCAAATAGGAAAAAAACTAGATGTAGTTACGCTGATATTTGATATATAACTGCTTTCAGTGGTTACTGACTATTGTTTCAATCATGTTAAGGAGACACATCCATTAAATGTGATGTCCATGAAATGATGGATATTATCTTTCGGAGAAAAGAGATGTGCTAAGTTATACGCTCATGTTTCTCTAAGTAATTAATTTTTATGAGAACGAGTACTTAAAGATAGTGTGTGTTTATCACTCACTAAATAAACTAATATTTCAGCCATAAACTAAAAGTATGTTCAAATTATATTTACACAGTATGGCCCTATTGTGCATAAAAATTATTAGAAACAGGAGAATTAGGCTGAATTTTTAAAATCACATTCAACAATCCAAAATGTTCCTACCTGTACACAAACTGATCTGCCTGTTTCCGAGTTCCGATGAGTTGGACAAGAGCGAAAAATATCTGATCTGGTACACGTTCCTGTTTTTCTAGAACCAGCATAAAACTATGTCCAAAACAAGATTGCATCATAACCCAGTCTACAGCACCTGGAAGACTTATGTCAGTAGCCAAAAATACAATATCTTCGCCTGAGACACAAAAACAAATGACATTACAATAATAATTCAAGAAAAAAAGTTCGATTTTACTTCTGGTTTTTAAAATACGACATTCATTATTGAATTATTGAAAGGAAGACAATAAGGAAACCCATTCATATAGACTATCACCAAGTGGATACTGGTGTTGTGTATGCTTAATGCTTAGTGATGACTAAACTTTATTGATTGGGTCGCAATACGACAACTAGTCTTAAAAACTCGACATCGCGACACTGATAACCACCCACTGTTTGTTGAGTGCAAAAAATTTAGGAGTCTCGAAGTTCGGAGGTAGCATTGTTGGAAATGCTACTTATTTAAGGGAAACAACTTACTAACGTTTCATAACAGTAAGATATTGCTTGCATCTGCCTTTTCGGTCAATACAGACCGATTCGTGTAAAAATAGGAAAGCTTGATCACCACCACGACTATAATAATATCGGATATTTGTATCATGTTCGTCTCTAACTCATCAGCTATAAGCACCTACTGTGATAATGAGATCAAGAAAAAACCACATCAAGTGTGGATATCAGAGATGGTACAGACAGACGGACAATGAATTTTTGGTTAGTGGAGTCATTTATTAGGCAAGACCTTGAAGTACATGGTTATTTAACGGTTCTGATTACATTTTATGATAAAATGAATGCAAATATAATCAATTCATAAGACGAATAACTTGAAAGTTATAAGCAACCTTTAACATTCCTAGAAAGAAGATCATTTCCTAATATCCCCCTATATATACACGAGATTAATGGGTACAATTATTCCAAAAATACCTGTAACTGATAAACCTAAAGTAGAAATGAAACCTATATATGTAAATAATACTAATAAATCTGGTCAAAGGAAAAAATCCCAGATAATTCTTACCTTGTAAAGTTGTAATGCTTTTATGGTGATGCACGAGATGGGGCATAACTTGTTCCAATTCACCAAGCCACTTACATGAAGCACCAGGACATGGACAATCATAGGGCCTAAAATGATTATTTACCAAATAAACGCTTGTAATCAATATTTGATATAATTATGAAAAAAACAGTACAAAAAGGCGACAAATTTTATTTACATGTTACAACCAGACACTTTTTAATATATATCAGCACATGCTTGTTTACTAATCACTAATCAGTGAACAATTATTACCACGTTGAAAAATGGACTAGAAGTATCACAAACGGTTTTCACGGAGGAAAGAGATTAAATGGGTTTGAATTATTGATCTTAACGTTGAGAATTAGTGAAAGGAACACAAAACCATATAATGAAAGTTTCATGAATGTAACTAGATAGTGGAGTTGAATCATTGTAGTGTCTAGACAAGTTTAATGCTCTACTTGAAAAGAACAGATAACAATAAGTTAGCTCAATACAAAACTATGAGGAAAATGCGAATCACGAACCTGGAAATACCATATCACATAAAGAAAAGTTGAATACTGCGAAATTAGCATAGTTTCTTATGATCAAGAATTCACGAATATTGAGTTTAACCCACAGAGTGATTTACAATTCATCTCAAAATTGCTCGGGAACTATTTAATAAGGCACAAATGGACAGAGAAATGTAAAATGGTATAGGTCGATACACATTTCACCAACATAGACAGAAGTATAGTAGTCTTAAAACACATTGGGGAATGAGAGAAACAAACGAAAATGATCTATGCTAAGCAACATCAGTCATTTCTACGTGCAAAAAATATATACCAACCACTTCAAAGGGCGAAAACGCTCATAGCTTGCCGTTAGACAAATTGTTCTTTTAATGCTTCTACTATTAACAATAAATATTCCTGTGATATCTGAGAGTCTATGAGTCTAATTTTTGTATATACTCTCCAATCTACAATAGATTTTAGCAGTATGACAGACTACTATGCCGCATATTTGTTTCGCGGTAAATGTATCAATACTGCCTCCGTAGTGGTGTTAGTAAATAGTAATCAGAATTTCTGTATTCAACTGAAATGTTATCGAAAATAATCTAAGCAGAAAATATGGAAATAGATACATATTGGGATAATATACTACAAAACCACAACAACAGACATATGTACGCTTTATGAACTGCTCTTAAAATGCAGGTTAATGATACCAGGTAACCAAATCAATCTCAATAAATAGGATGGAGTTTTCACTATTTAATGGATAGTTTGATTACGAAGTCACAGAAATGATTAGTAGGCACAAACACATTAACTACCACTGCTATTAACGGTACAGAACACTTTTACGGAATCTGACGACTTCGAAACTTGACTTGGTCAACATTTTAAAATAGTATTATGAAAACCTCTTTACCTATAGGAATCAAGTCGTTTACATACTTAAAGTTACTTACAAGATTTTCGGATACTAGACAGACTGATGGGGAGTCAAAAGCAAATAAAACTGAATACAATAACATACTTCAGACAAATTTAACTTGATGATACAAAAATTCTCCTAAATGGGCCAAACAAATGATTTTAAATCCAGACTAGTATTCGCTATTGTTGATGGCTCTTTTTAATCTATCTGCTTGCAGTATAGAGCATTACAATGGGTTATTACAAACAGATCTTTTGCCTGTCCTCAGATTAAACTGAAAAAAAGTCCTCATCATTCTATTAATTCTTTAGACAAAAATAAACATCATCAGCATAGGGCTATATCACACTAACACAAGATATGAATAAAAAAAGAGGTCGGAACAACGCAGCAGCAATTGTAAAAAGAAAAAATAAACTTTGGGAACATGGTTTCGAAGGATGATGAAAAGTTAAGTATGAAGGAATACTGGGATTCAAGATGAAGAGTGGATGCATCTCCGCCACTGTGAACGTCTTCAACCACCGATTACAGTCATCACGCCGAATTCAACTAGTTAGCCTGCGTCTATATGCATGGCTCAGGCCAACAATCGATGACTTCATTAATTAGCATTATTAGTTCGACCGAACCTAGCTTCCTTCCAACCTAATTGTGCACTAGCAAGCACGACTTGTTGGGGTAGGTGGTGGTTTGGCATACGTAATACATATGGCAACTGCTTAAAGTTCAGTGTCTGGATATCATAGTGGGCTTATAGTTATACGTTTTCATGAAATATCGAAGAGACTGCAAAACGAAAATGAGTTAGTGAATACGATAGAAATTAAGACAACCATTGACGGGAGATTTGAAACTAGGGATGGATCTTTAAAAGCGGTCAAGAAATAAAAAGCTTACCTATACTCGCAAGCTGCTTCATGTTCTGATTTGGATGTATAATGAAAAGTTTCTGGGCAACCACTAGTGGAGTACTTGCAAGGAAATAATACACTGGAGCAAGTTTTTCCATTGCGAGGTTCCGGATATTATCTTAGAAAGAAAAGTGAGACGAGGTATCTTGTGAGTGACTTTGGAAGTTGAATCGAGACAATATGCACATTAATTAGGAAAAAATTAGGATATCGAATCCACAGGAGGGATTCAAAATGATTAGTACGAAACAGTATCATCGTTGTAAACTAGCAAAGAAAGCACAATCGTTGAATATCGATCAAGAGACAGATTACAACAAAATTTTAGACAAAAAATACGTATTTAAATTTCCCATTACATAGTTACTTTAGGAGCAGCTTCCGTAATTGCTAATGTTGACTATGAGTGGTTAAGTTATGCCGATAAACCATTTCGCAATCATAAGTCTTATTGAGTCTGACAAAATATAGCCGTGGATAAGGTCCTACTTTCATTTTGCAAATTATGCAAACTTATTTACTAACTACAGGGTAACGTACTCGAATTTGACTCGAAATATTTGTGATTAGTGATAATATCTGGTTGCCCAAATAAAATTAGGCCAAGATGAACTTGAACCTGTAAAGTAGTGGCTGAGAACTAAATGTTATAACTATTGGCTCCCAAATGCCCTGATATGGTCGAGAGTGGGGAGGGTCCACTCTCCCTTTCGAAATGCTCTCGCATGGCCTCAAGTGTATAGCCACAGAGCAGGTGTTGTTTACGAAATTGGGAGGATGAAAAGCGAATGCCCGGCGCTTTAACCTTGTTGGTGGACACGAGGATCCACTTAGGGGAGTTGAAAAACCCTAGTTCCAAACCAATCGTGCACAAGGGCTCCATTATCTTGAAGGAACAAATGGCGTATGAACCTGTTGTTGGTCATCGGCTACCATGGGACTGCATCTCCTAACGTTGTTCCATTGCCTTGTGGACTAGACCTCTAGGTCAAGGGCTCGAGGGGGTTGCCTCCTAAGAAAACCACCTGCTTCAGTTTGGGAGCCCGGGAAATATTCCATCCATCACACCAATCGAATCATTCGTGTGACACATATCTGTTTGGTACCTCCATGTAACAATGTGTGTTTAAATGAATGAATAAATAAATAAATACAACTATTAAGTCATTGTCCTATGCCCTACTTAAGATACAGAAGAAATGCGAATGACTATAAAAGGCAAAGTATGTTGTGCACCAGTTAGTTCTGCACTACGTTACGTACATCAAACAGCCAACAAAAGTAAAGGTGATGTTACAGGCACCGATGCTAGACACAGTCCAGAATATACGTGGATCAGCGGACGAGCGTATGAATCTCCACTGACTAAAGTGGCTGGTACACTAAACAGGCCGTGACTGTTCAATAACATTCGAACATAAAAAAGTGAACAGACAGCAAAACGGTTTCAGTTCATGAAATTATTAAATGATGGTTTAAGTAGTATAGACAGCTTTAGGTAGTCTTTGAAAAGTCACGAAATAAATGTAACAAATAGTCTGACCATATGATGGGTGGTAAGAGACCAAAATGATTCGCATCGGTACAAACTTGTATATACTCTTAGTCTTTTCGTGGTATACAAACGAGTTGTTGACCTCGGTGGTGTTTTGTTTTCTGAGCTGGATGGTTTGGTCGTGGAGCTTTCATCGTTCTTCTGAACGACATCATCAGCACAAACTTCAGATAGAAGTGAAGTGCTCGAATTTCTCCATATGTGTTTCACAGCTTGTTCTGTGTTATTGATTATATATTGATTTTCTGATACATTGTTGCCGATTACCATCAATCACATTTTCGGCTTAATCTCATTGCTTTTCGTTCACTTGACTGATACTGTCGAAACAAATGCGAAGCGTCAACTGGAACCTACCTAGATATAACAAGTTTTAAATTACATCTAAGAATGTACACTTAGTCCTGTTTTGCTCCGACTAGGCGGCCTATTACAGTGTGAAGTAGGTACACTCTGTAAAAATCAGTAATGCATATAGTCAGCATCAAACGTTGACAGACCTTATACAAACACTGTTTTTGTCGTAATTACGTAAACAACCGATTTGAGAGAGCTAATACAACCATATATAAGAAAACTGGTTTGCAACCTTAATCACTTAATTATCCTTTTTAAAATAAACATCAGTACAGACTTTTCTTTAAGTGATACCTGATTGAAGTTGGGTGTGTAGGGAACATTGAACATTAACAAGCCTCTCCTTGATGCAATTATGTGATCTTGCTTTATATTTGTTGTCGCGAGACAGGGTTCATATATTCACGTACTAGGAGTCAATCAAATGACTCCCGAACAAGACAGAACTCAGAAAAGTTGAGGTAAGGAATCAGTATCCTATTCAAACCTACGATAAAAAGTTGGACAGTACTACTTATGGGAACCTTTAATTAAAGCCTGTCTTTAGAAAATAATATCTTATACGCTGTTCTTCCGCTATGAAATTGAAAGAGGTCTGACAATAAGAATATATGTTTCCTAAGTAACGTCTTTAACAAGGTCTCTCTAAAGGAGTTATCAAGACAGGGGGTTGAATACCGTCGATAAAATAGACCTGTGTAGAACAGAATTAACTCCATCATCTTACTTCATAATGCTGCATGCGTAATAGATAGTAAAAAGTAGAGAGCCATGTACACTTGGAAGCTTCTAATCACCTGCGGAGGAATATTCACGACAGAATGACTAAATAAGGTGCACTGAAGCACTGATAAAGACACCAGAGCCCAAGAATGATCTTAGTTATTACCTGCGACATGCAATTGACTGGTGTGACAGAAAATAAGTTATGACAGTTTAACGCACTATTTTAGCAAAATAAACACTTTTACAAGGTGTCATTGAGACCGAAAATGAGTAAGGTAACTACTTAAATTTGATATCAAAAGTGTTAATTACTGAAGCAGTAAGTGACACTAAGTACAATAACATCGTTTTCTTGGAAGAGTGATAGATAGAGAAGTCACTATGCTGACGATAATGGGTCAACATAAGACTAAATTAATGATGACCTGGATGTTACTACGCATGGGAAAATTTATGCACTGTATCGTTAATAGAATATTAAAAGGCTCAAAACAGAACATACCATAGGCTTTCTGTGCCACAAATTTTCAGGTGTGATAAAAGCAAATAACTAATAGGAGATATTAACATTTGGGTGGTCGATAAGTGCAAGACGAGACGTTTCATGTCAAAAATATTATCGTCTGTGCATAACACAACCTAAACGTGTGGAAAATTGTGAACTGTATCAGTAGCACCCTGACTACTGGGAACATTAAAAGTTACATACCAAAATGATGTATCAAGCTTACCTAAGTTGCCTCTACAAGTTGGGCATGATGAGAGTTTTGACCGGCACGACGCGCAAACGATATGTCCACTTTGACATTGCATAATAGGTGGTAGAGCATAATCCATGCAAACCGGGCATTCGAAAAGACTAGCGAGGTCTATTGAGCTGCTATCTGAAGTGTTATGTGGAAGAATATTACAAACAGTGTCCGATGCCGATGACATCGAACCTGGTAGGGACATAGAGCACGTACTAGCTGTGCCGGAGTTATTAACCAAAGGTGTTGTTGCTCCTACTTCTCTGTGAGGCATGTTTATGTGAGGCATTAATTTTATTCCATGATGTAGAGCATGATTATGATTTATAGGTAAAGTGCCATTGAACGTCCAACAGCATCTGATGATGTCATTTGACTTCTGTGACATGTCCGTTCCTCAGATAAAATCGTATTGTTTGAGTTAGTCGCACGGCTCGGGACGCTCATGTTAACCTCCGTAATTGAACTATTCATAAAACAAGGAACAAAACCACAAGTACCGCGTTTTATGAGCGATTCGCGTTCACAGATTTAAACAAATCCACAACATTGACGAAATACTGTGCTGTTACTTCAGTATCATGTGCAACTAATTGTTATTTGAGGAATATTCGGTTTGATTCTATTACATATTCCATTTTAGTGTTTCTGATAGCTTGAATATATTGGAAGTTTGAAAATTGAGAACCTGTTAGGATGTAAAGAGTATTTATACAAGTTAAATGATCTGAATCTGCTTCTTTGAGTGTGGTATCACAGCTTTTCGAGATGAATAATAGCCTAAATGGTGAATTTCGATTCCAAGAGTTTCAACTGCTATTGGTAGATTACAAATAACCAATAATAATCATCCTAGTTTTATTTACGTTAGTAACCCCAGATCATTTGCCAAACAAATAACTTGTTTTTTCGTCCATGTTCAAAGCCATAGACCTAAAACTTTACACGAATATATTAATCATTATAAACATTAGTTCCCAAGATCATGATCAAATGCATTCCACCCTCTTCTATAAAATCTCTTAATCACCAATGGAACAAATATCTAATATATTGGAACACGTATGTACTATTTCACTGTAAATACTCCGGTTGTCATTGCTTCCTTAAAATTTTTTTGAATGCGAAAGGAATTAAGCGCGACTCACTTAGTGCATATCTGACTTCTAAAAGGGAAATAATAATAAATGCAAAAACCGAAACAAGCAAAACAGATGAAATCATTTGTCGTGAAGTTCAAAATAAGCTTACTGTGCCTCAGAATGTGATGGCTGAAAACTCTAAAATCATGTTATTACGAAATGGTCTCCTTCTAATTGATATTCCATATATGTCTTTTGATTTAAGCAAACCAAAACAAAGTAAAGAATGTGATGGTACAACATTACAGGAATGCAAAAGTTCTATTCCAAATGAGCCTGATATCGAACTGGATAATGGTGAAAAATTACAAACACAACATCTTGATCGACATAAAACTATACGCGAAGGGAATAAACTCATTTTAGTGATCCCCTTAGATAAAATTTCAAGGAAGAGAATATAAAAGTCACTGTTGTACAACGTTCAGTATGCATAACAATTACTAACCTTGATTATTCAATAGTGAAACATAACTCTAATAAATCTGATTCCAAACATCTTGTCCAAAGAACATATTATAAAGAATATGAGGCTTCTGATTGTATTCCTGATCCTGAATCAATTAATTTTTATGTAGATAATAATCGTCTTATTGTTAATTTAAACATAACCAAAACGTCACAACCATCTAAGATAACATGAAAAGTCCTCGTATACAGAAGATACATTTTATAAATAATAACAGTGGGAAAGTGTTTGATTATTTTAAATTTTATTTTTCCAAAATGGACTGTAATTTATAATACCTCTCTGTTACAGTAAGTAATACATCATTTCATTAACGCTGTATTATTCTATTATTATTTGAAAGAAAATACATAAATACTGTGGAAGTTTATAAATTGTTCAAACATATTTTTGTTTTATGCACAATATTAAAATCTTAATCAAAGCTTTTAGATCGTAACTAACAACGCTGTTTTATGTAAAGTTGACACAATTTGTTTAGCAAACAATGTATCAAGTATAGTATTTATCATACCACAGAAACGTCGTATGGGTTGTGTCAACTAATTGGTATATTGCTTTAACTAATGTAAATTGTATGATAGAAGACGATTACTTAAAAAAAGACCGAGTTACTGACAAAAGAAAGAGGATACCGGCCAACTAAAAGAGTCTATTTCATTCAAAAACATGATGTACACTTAGATACTATACATGGATATATATATATATATATATATATATGCAAAGAGAGTGAACATGAATTTTCTTTGGATACAGACTGTGTATTTTATCCCATAACGAGACGAATATGAGACTTGAATTTCACTGTTATTACCATAAACAAGTATTATTGTAATTTCCTTCGGAAAACAAACATTCTTTACTAAACAGTGCTATTTTTGGTCGAGTTTAATATTTATTTAGCCAAAACTGGTTGCTACCGTATGTTTAATTCAGCATGCGAAAATTATTATTAGTTTAATTGGTCGATTCTTAGTAAATAATATTTAGTTATTAGCCAAATGCAATTCTAACTATTACATGGTCTGGTCAAGCTCCAATTGGAAGATATTGATTGTTCCATTTTTAACTCATCAACGTTGGTGGGGGAATCAAGAAGCTAGAAGTTTCTTATGTAGATTCCATATAACCCGTGTGTTTGTATGAACTAGTGATTCCTTTGTACTTGATGACTGCCTGGTTTCGAATTCCAAATTCAATAGGTTCATTTGTACCTAGTTCTGCTTGGTTTAAATTATGCTATTTCGAGAATTCATGGTTCGTACAATAATTCAAATACTTCTAATCATCACAAAACCTTAATGTTTTTATTATAATGTCTTTGTTGTTCGGGTTTATTAGAATATGCAATACCCGTTTCAATTTTTATTTTGGTTTGGGAGGAGTTAAGCAACACATAGTTTTAAGAGAATATTAGTGATGAATGGACTCCAACAATCAATTCATACTGTGAATAACTGACTCAAAATGACGGTCCACATTAATTCCTGTTTGTTTGTTGGGGATAATTAACATGGAGTCTAAGTTTTAGATTTTTCCAGATGGCGTTCTCTAGTAAAGCCTATCTACAAATTTAAGGTGACTGTGCTCGATTGATCTTAGTTAGACAACACAGGGTGCTCGATTTGGTTAAATCATGGAACTCGTCTCAAAAAGTTATTAATACAAACTCCAGGTAGAAATGGGGTATTTGAATTTCATCAAATATATGGCAAAACAATGAAAGTTTAAAGACTAGATCATTGAGCTGAGAGAACGTAAGTCCTCGATGATAGAGAGGTGAGATTATCACGATAAATATAAAGTTAGTAAAAGTAATAAGAGTGGTAGTAAAAATGTTCAGGCATAGATAATAGGATTTGAATGTCATCCATTAATCGAATTAAATGTACAAGCTAATTTTAAAACTTGCGATCTAAAAGAAGAAAAAGAGTGAACATACCTCAGCTATCGGGACTGATTCTTAATAATCTCACCCAAGTCTCTGAACGATGGTTACAGCAATCGAGTCAACCTAATCAGATAGTCTGAATGCATGAACACTGTTTAATCTAGCAATCAGTGTCTTCGTAGGGTAGAAACCATCACAAATCATGTGTTCAATGAGTGCTACACTTATGAGAGAACGTATAATGATGATCACCTTCCGCAAATTCTCGATGCTATTAACAAAAATATGAGTTTTAATGCCACTTTACCATATTTGTAAATGTACAAAAATTTAATAAGTATGACAAACGTACAAAGGTAGTACTGTTATTGATAATAAATTTAAAGTAACATCAATCAACTTTTATATGACTTCAAAAAGAAGAAACAAGTTTTCTCAAGAAGTTGGGGAATATTCGTAGTTTACGATGAGGATATTGGAGGTTTTATGCTGATAATGTCATTAAGAAGAACGATGAAAAGCTCCTCAACCAACCTACCCAGCTCAGAGAACAAAACTCCACCAAAAACTTATCAATATGCTTATTTAATGAATAAATACAATAACATAAGCATAAAATTACATTATATGTTGAATACTCCAATTTGGTTTAAGAATATACTTCCGTTTTTAGAAATTTTATCTCTTAAGTATATATGGATGATAATTCAACGTGAATGGTACAGACATCCGTAAAATTTAATGATAGTAATGTAAACTGTTTATTATATCCTATGCTTATTTAACTAAACAAAGCCAATGGTTATCATTATTCAATGTCTTAGAAGTTCATAGGACTTCAATGATCAAAACGTCATACCTAATCAAACTAATGTTAATGAATTTTCATAGTAATATTGTGGTGTGGGTTATTTATATCCACACAAGTAGTGTATGACGGTGGTCAGGCATAGAATGTATTTCAGTAGAAGGTCGATGAGGAAAGAACGGGAACGGAACGCAATTGGTATGAAAACACATGAACAATGAAATCCGAGACAATGGATTGGTGTTTGCAACAGGAACAGTCAAAGTTTAAGAAAATTGATTGGTATTTTGCAAACTAACGATTTACTATATGGTTCTCAGATTTTACTGAGATGCTCTGTAATTTTGTGCTCAAATACATTCAGTTGTCCCCGTCCATTTTCTGTTCACTATAATAATAATAATGATCGCTTTATTCAGTGAAGTAAATTTAATTACAGTAAATAATTCTAACACAAAATACCAATTACTGTAAAAGATTCAAATTACATATGTGTTTAACTTGTGAATATTCACAAAAAAGTGTATACAGGAACTTGTTTTAAACAGTAATTAGCTATCATCCACATTTATCCATAAATGCTTTACACTAGTATGCTGACAAGTGTCAAGTAGTACGAAACTCGGGTCCAGGGCGTCCTGTTGACTACCTCCAACCACCATCTAGTGTCTTGAAGTTCGTATTGAAGATATTGCTTGAAAGTTGTTTTGAGTTCTATATGTTGTTTAACTGTAGGAATGCTGTCCTTGCTTTTCCAATCCTCGCCTATACGTCTACATCAGATCCTCCTTTATGTTGCTGTTCAGGAACGTGAAAGTTTCCATCATCAAGTGTCATTGCGTTGGTATTCTCTGTATATATATTCTGACTCGAACCCAGGAACTTCTGTCTCACACGTGACCGCTTAACTTCCAAACCACTGGGCCGGGATACAGTGATGTTAATGTCTAACTTCAATCGACCCATTATCTTGCGCAACCGCTCATCGATTGAGCGAAACAACCGTTCAGTGCTTCCAGTCCATCAATGTTGGTCTTGTTTAGATAGACTCATGAATGCAATTATTAAAACTATTACAATCCCCGCAAATCCCCATTCTGACAAAAATTATTTGACATTTTTCCGAATATAGTAATACAATGAAGATTTACCTATATATATCTGAGTGAGTATGAACATATCTCTGAATCTAAGCTTACTGCCTACTTCTTAGCAATGCAAACAGTGAATGAATTGCAGTTACGAGTAAAAAATGTTTATAGATTCTAAACAAACAATTTTCTTTCCTCAATCGACGCTTTAAAAAAAACCTAATCCTTTTTCTATAACTACAGATGAATCGATAGATTTACACTGATGTGAATGTATGTAGCTGTTAATAAACAGATTAAATAGACAAGTTCACATTTTGTAAAATACTATAAACAAAACCCATCTGCATATAACATTTTTTCCCCAAACCACTCAGATTACAGGTTTTAAGTGTTTCACCATAAGATAGTCGGCTTTTATCCTTTAGACTCTTCAAATATATAAAAGAAAGAAACCGTATATAATTGTTAGCTATGCTTCATTTGTATCATCTACTTAGTTGTATTTTGCGTATATATAGATAAGTTAATCAGTAACATATGGTACATATATAATAATATAATCAAGCAATGATTTAAATAAAAGTCTTGTTTCATTTGTACAATTCAACATTTAAACAGAAAATAGACTTTCTTTTTTCATATCTATTTATAAGAAGAAAGAATTCTACATTGTAAAAGATCACTTTTCAGTGATATCAATAATAAACTTAACAAATGCATGTATTTTCATCTTCAATAAAGTATCCATTGGTTTTTTTAATTACTTACCAATTTTCAGACAACTTATCATCATACATGCTGTACTAATATTTGAATGAAGAATACTTTTTTCGATAAATTCTCTTCAGATTCTACAATTCATATATATCCAAATGATTAATCCTAAAAATGACCAGGTTAAGGGTAAAGTACATTGTTTAATGTATATGAATTTAAGATTGTCAAACAAAATAGGATATCAGACCACCTTTGGAAACCTGGAAGCACTGGACGGCCGTTTCGACCTATTGTGGGACTTCTCAGCAGTGCTCATCCACAATCCCGCTCGCATGTTTCGAACCGAAGGCCTTCGGTCTCGCGTGCGAACGCTTAACCTACTGGACCACTGAACCAGCACCCGATGGTGATAGTGTCTAACA